CTAGTGCTAATATGCTTGAGCTGACTGGCGGAAATAGCAACCACAATAGATCTAAACGCAAACTGTGTTCCTCAAAAATAAAACTAAAGTCCAGCTTCATACCAACGGCTAGTTACAGAACAGTTTCATAGTATAGTTTGTGATCAGGAGCTGACAATGATGGCAATCAATTAAATGTAGCAGAAGATGGTAATTAGAGATGAGCGAATCGAACTTGGCGAAGTGGAATTCGTTTTGAATATTAGGAAAATTTCGATTCGCGACGAATCCGAAAATTAGCAGACTTCGGATGCGCGAATCGAAATTTTTCCTAAAATGGCGGCGACATGTGCGGCGACGGAGCGGGGATCTCTGGGAAGGCGCGCAGACAAGGCGCGCTGACCCATAATGCATTCATTCATGACATGTGATCGCATTAGCCAATCAGCAGCCAGCCAGCGCTGTGTAATGGTCGAGCTATAAATTGCGGCCATTTTAGAATTCTCCATTTGCCTCCAGTCATTCAAGAGAGGCAGACCTGGCTGTATTGAGGGAGAGAGTTAGGGCCACAGAAACGTTACTTAGGGACACAGAAACGTTACTTAGGGCCACAGAAAACGTTACTTGGGGCCACAGAAACGTTACTTGGGGCCACAGAATCGTTACTTAGGGCCACAGAAACACAGTTACTTAGGGACACAGAATTGTTACTCAGGGACAGACACAGAATTGTTACTGAGGGACACAGAATTGTTACTGAGGGACACAGAATTGTTACTCAGGGACAGACACAGAATTGTTACTGAGGGACACAGAATTGTTACTACAGAATTGTTACTGAGGGACACAGAATTGTTACTCAGGGACAGACACAGAATTGTTACTCAGGGACAGACACAGAATTGTTACTGAGGGACACAGAATTGTTACTGAGGGACACAGAATTGTTACTCAGGGACAGACACAGAATTGTTACTGAGGGACACAGAATTGTTACTCAGGGACAGACACAGAATTGTTACTGAGGGACACAGAATTGTTACTGAGGACACAGAATTGTTACTCAGGGACAGACACAGAATTGTTACTCAGGGACAGACACAGAATTGTTACTCAGGGACAGACACAGAATTGTTACTGAGGGACACAGAATTGTTACTCAGGGACAGACACAGAATTGTTACTCAGGGACACAGAATTGTTACTCGGGGACACAGAATCGTTGAATTAAAGAGTTTGTCAGACAACATGCAGAGGAGTGGCAGAGGAGGCAATGTTTTAGGAGCGAGCAGCGACGTGGCAGCAGAGGAAGGGGTTCGAGGCAGCACTAGTCGCAGCCAGAGGCCAGTGCTCCCAGTGTCATCCAGCGGTCGTGTCTCCACTGACAACCCTGCCGTCATCGATTGGTTGGCTCGGTCGTCTTCCTCTTCCCAGGTCACCTCTGACACTTATAGCCAACGTCGGTGGGTACGTCAGACACAACCGTTAGTTGGCATGGCCCGGGAGCAAGCCCACTGAAATCACGTGTCCTCTACCTGCTCCTGTCCTTTGGTGTTCCCTCACCAAGCGAAGTATCGCATGCTGTGGGCTCAGCCCCACTGTACAGTGAGGAAGAGCTAACAGAGGGCGGTCAGGAACGGGGGGAGACATCCGCCTCTTCAGCAGCCAGGCGAAGAAGTAGTGGCGAGGAGAGTGGCTCGGTAGCCGGTCTAGAGACAGGTCTGTCTCCTGACCCACACGCAGCCGAGGGGGCTAGTAGTGAGGCGGAGACCCTAATTGATGATGATGAGGCTGATCGCACATGGCAGCCTCTTTCGTCGTCATCAGGCTATATTGCTTCCGCATCATCAGGAGAAGAGGGGTGGCAGCTTGGCAGCGAGCAAAACAGTCGGTGGTTTGCCCAGGAGGCCTAGCAGGGTCGCCAGCGTGTCAGTGGAGGCAAGATCGGCCAACGGAGTAGAGCACCAGCTCCACTGCAGTGCCTACTACCACGGCCCAGTAGTGGTGCCGGTGTGTGCACGGGAGGAAGTAGCACAAAGGTCAGCCAGTGAGGAGTATCGGGGGGCAGCAAAGTTTCCTACTCGGCGGTGTGGCAATTTTTCGTCAAGCCGCCGAGGAAATGTAAACGTAGCCGGTATGTCGACTATGTGGCCAGAAAGTTCAAGCGTGGCCAGGGGGCCCATGTTGGGACTACAGCGTTGCGTCTGTCATTATGTCGCATATGCAGCGTCGCCATTTGGTGGCCTGGGAAAACCGTGATTAAAGATACGGCGGGTTCTGCCCTGCCCCAGCCCCCGCTCCATCACCTGCTCCGTTACTTGCTCCTTCACCCGACGTCAATCGGCCCTCTATCAGCCCAGTCAAGGCTCCAACACCTCTGCTGAGGGGAGTTGTTGCTCGTTGGCATCTTCCGCTCGTTCAGATGCTCCTTCTCCTGCTACTCCTCTTCACGGATTCCGTCAGCAGTCTTTCTTGGAATCCGTTTACAACGAGACAACAGTTTGCGAGCACGCACCCGACGGTGCAAAAGCTGAACGTCCTCCTGTCCAAGTTGCTGGTGCTGCAGTCCCTCCCTTTCCAAGTGGTGGACTCAGCACCTTTCCAAGAAATGATGGCTTGTGCTGCGCCCGCTCGGTGGAGAGTGCCAAGCCGTTTCATTTCTTCGCCAAAAAGGCTAGTGCCGAGCACTGTAGAAGAGATGGTGGGCCAGTCTTTGAGCATGTCGGTTCTCTCTGCCAAAGTGCACGGCAGCGCCGACGTGTGGAGCTGTAACTACGGTCAGGGACAGTACATGTCATTTACGGCCCATGGGTTGAACGTTGGTGCCGGCACAGCCGCACCAGCTGCACTTTACACAGGTTTCACGCCGCTTTTGCCTCCGCGTTTGCACGTCTTGGTCCACAAAAGATGTCCGCCTCTACCCAACCTCTTCTTCCGCCGTGTCCTCAGCCGCCACCCCCGTGCCAAAGTCCCATTACAGTATCCTGACCGGCATATCACATGTGCAGGGCGCAACGGTGTCACGCTGTGCTGCACCTGGTATGCCTTGGCGAACGTAGTCACAGGGGAGGAACTTCTGAGTATATAATGAAACAGAGAAAATCGACAGATGGCTGTCTCGCGCGCAAACTGAAAATTGGAACCATGTTGACCGACAACGGAAAGAACATGGTGTTCTGCTCTGCGTCAAGGATAGGTTGTGCCATGCGCCATGCAGTGGCTCACGTGTTCTAAATCTGGTTGTGTCAAGCGGTTCACTAAAATCCACCAATCCCACTGCAAGACATCCTTAAAATGTCACGTTAAACTTTGCATGCATTTCAGCCATTCCTACACCGCAAAGCACACCTCCTTGTGCTGCAGCGGCCAGAACGGGTATTTCCACAGCATCGCCTGATCTGCGACGTTGCAACAAGGTGGAATTCAACCCTAAAAACATGTTAGACCGCCTTTACGAACAGCGAAAGGGAGGCCATCACCGATTTCCTGATGTTACAAGCGGATAAAGGTACTCCCTGTGTAACTTTCGATGTCAGCCTTTGGCAGCTCATGCGTGACACCTGCGCTTGCTGTGAGGCCTTTGAGGAGGCCACGCTATTCGTGCAGTGAGTCGGCTAGGACTATGGGTTATGAACGACGACGGTCATTCCTCTGTTGCACATCCTGGAACAAATGTGTTAACAATGGCTGGTCAGGGTGCGGTAGACGTGGCGCACAGATTCAATGCCGCATGACCCCTGTGGGGGGTGGCAGGACAGGAAGAAGAGGAGGAGGTAGAGGAGGACATTGGTGCTCAGGAATTATTGAGTGAAATGGGGTGGTTTTTCCACTCAGCGGACAGGAGTGGAGGAGCAGGAGGAGCATTGGTGGTAGGAGGAGGAGGAGGAGGAGGAGGAGACCAGAGGACCCAGACGCACACTGTTGCAGTATGCTGTGGAGATGGATCGGCAGGAGTAGTCCTCGTCGCCTTCCTTGGCACAAAATGGCCCATAGCATGCTCGGGTTGCCTTGCACGTAGCGACAGCCTGCCGTAATAATAAACCATGCCAGACAGAGGGATGGACTTTTGGCTGTCCCACCTTGTTGGCCCCTCGCTAACCGTCAAAAAAATGGTGGCCTCTTTTCACACCTGCTGAAGAGGGAAGGCGCAAAATAACTCATAATATATAAAAACCACCTATGTAGTCAGTTGGTCTATGCCTTTCTGCGCCAACGTCCATCCTCAGACACTGTGGGCCCTGTGCGCTCGCGTTGTCGGCTGCCATGGCAGCAGGGGATGGGGTGGGGTGGTAGGAGCCTACAGTGGCAGCTCCACCAGCAGCGGCTGCTCAGTTCTGCATATGTCGATGATGAGTTAGCTTTCTTCACCAGCGCAGTGAGGAAAACTACGCTAACCAGCCGCAGTCAGCAATTGCGAGCAGCATCCAGGTGACTGGAGCAGGACCTCAAACAACAGGCTTGGCCCTACTTGGACAGCACCCTGCCAATCCGAGGTAGGACAATCTCCCTTGAAATATGGGCAACGAAACTTGACCTTTGGGCCCCAACTAGCTGAATTTGCCTTGAAGAGGCTGTCATGCGACTCGGCCAGTAGCGTGGCATCGGAGCGCGTGTTTTAGTGCGGCAGGAAGTATTGTAAACTCCGCGGAGGACACGACTGTCCACCAAAGTGTGGAGAGACTCACGTTTGTGGTAAAATGAATCAGGCGTGGATTAGTCTGGATTTCAAACCACCAGTTCCTGACACAACTGAGCTAAATCCGCCTATGAATCATGCCCCAAACATGTGCCACTTTCAGGTCTCCTCACACTGCTGGTGTGTTCCATTTTGGGTGCTGCATACGGGTCCACATTTGCCTGCTGCAGGCCCGTAATTACGGGGCCTCCCATTGCTGCCGGGTGCCATGGGTCAGGTACCGATAATCTGCCTATGTGCCATTTAAGGCCCCGTCCTGCCTCCTCATGCTGCTGCCAGGGTCCAGGGCCCTGTCTCTTAATGCTTGCCAGGTCCAGAGTGTCTGGGCCCTTGTACGGCCTCCCATTGCTGCTGTCTCCATCGCCACACTCTGCCATGTGCCGCACTTTTCAGGTCTCCTCTCACATGCTGGTGTGTTCCATTTTTTGTCATAGGGGTGCTGGCAGATTACGGGCCTCCCATTTGCTGCTGCCAGGCCTGTAATCTGCCATGGGCCCTGTACGCCTCTTCTTGATGCTGCTCGCCAGGTCCAGAGTGTCTCATATGGGTCCTGTAACGGCTCCCATTTGCATGCTGTCTCCATCGCCACCCACTCTGCCATCGTGCCACTTTCAGGTCTCCTCACACTGTGGTTTTTTGGTGTGTGTTCCATTTTTTGTCAGTAGTGTGCTGGGGCCAGAATTACGGGCTCCCCCATTGATTGAGCTGGCCAGGCCCTGTAATATGCCATGGGCCCCTAGTACCTGCCTTCCTTCAATGCTGCTGCCAGGTCCAAGAGGTCTACTCATGGGTCCCATGTACGGCACTACCCATTTGCTGCTGGTCTCCATTTGACCACACTCTGCCAAAGTTGCCACTTTCAGGTCTCATCACACTGCTGGTGTTGTTCCATGTTTTTGTCAATAGGGTGCTGGACAGAATTATGGGCCTACCATTGCATGCTGCCAGCGAGCCTGTTGTTTTAATCTGCCATGGGCCTCCATGTACCGCCTCTTCATGCTGCTGCCAGGTCCAGAGTGTCTCCATGCGGTCCCACTGTACGGGCACTCCTCCAATTGCTGCTGTCTCCATCGACAGCACACTAGACTCTGCCATGTGGCCACTTTCAGGTATCCTCACACTTGCTGAGTGTTGTTCCATTTTGTCATAGGGTGCTGGCAGATTAACGGGCCTTTTTGTTTTTTCCCACACCACTTCGCTCGGGCCATGCACAGGCCCGTAAATCTGCCAATGGGCGCCCCCGTACCTGCCTTACCTCATGCTGCTTGCCAGGTCCAGGTGTCTCTCATGGGTCCGGTGTACAGGGCAACCCATTGCTGATGTCTCGCATCAGCCCACACTCTGACCATGTGCCTCTTTCAGGTTCCCTCACACTGCTGGTGTTGTTACCATTTCTGTTCATAGGGGTGCTGGCAGAGTTACTGGGCCTACCCATTGCTGCTGCCAGGGTCCGCGTTAATCTGCCTCATGGGCCCCCCGTACCGCTCTCCCTCATGATGCTGCTCTCAGGTCCAGAGTCTGCTCATGGGTCCCCCTGTACGGACCTCACCATTGCTGCTGTTCTCCATCGCACCACACTCTGACATGTGCCATCTTTCAGGTTCTCCTCACATTGCTGGCTGTGTGTACCATGTTTCGTCATAGGGTCTGATGCTGGCAGATTTACTCGGGCATCCCATTGCTGCTGCCACAGGCCCGATAATCTGCACAGGGCCCCTGTACCGCGCTCTGTCATGCTGCTGCCATGTCCAGAGTCTCTCATAGGTCCCTGTACGGCCCTACCATATGCTGCTGTTCTCCTATGCCCCACACTCTGCCATGTTGCCAATTTCAGGTCTCCTCTCACTGATGGCCTGCCCCTGATTTGTGTTCCAAAATTTTTTGTCAATTAGGAGTGCATGGGTGGCAAGATTTACGGGCCTCCCATTCCTCCCATTGCTTGACTGCCTGGCCCTCGTAATCTGCATGGGCCCCATAGTACACATCCTTCATGCTGCTGCCATGTCCACAGTGTCTCATGGGTCCCTTGTACGGGTGCTCCTCCCAGATGTGCCTGCCTGTATCCATCGCCGACACTTGATCCATGTGCCGACTTTCATGGTCTCCTCACACAGCTGGTGTGTTCCATTTTTTGTTCATAGGGTGCTCTCAGATTAGGGGCCATTACCCATTTGCCTGCTGCCAGTGCCCGTAATCTGCCTCATGGGCCCACGTACAGATGCTCTTCATGCGCTCGTGACGTATGACAACGCAAGGTGGAATTCAACCCTACATATGTGTAGACCGCCCTTTAGACTGAACAGCGAAAGAGGCCATCTCAGATTCCTTGATGTTACAATAGCGCCGTATAATGGTATCTCCCTGGTGTAACTTAGATGTCACGGCCATTGGGCCAGACTCAATGCTCGTGACACCTCATGCCGCTTGCTCAGGCCCCTTTGAGGAGGTCCACGCTATTCCGTGAGTCGGCGAGGCACTATGGGGACTGAACGACGTCATTCCTCTGTGCACGTACTCTGGAACAAATGCATGTTAACAATGGCTGGTCAGGGTGCTGGTAGACGGTGGCGCACCAGATTCTCCAACGCCGCGATGACCCCTGTGGGGGCAGGGACAGGAAGGAAGAGTAGGAGGTAGGTTAGGAGGTGGACATTGGTTGCTCAGGAGATTATTGAGTGAAATGGGTTGGTTTTTCCACTCAGCGGACAGTGAGTGGAGGAGCAGAGCCATCTGGGTCTAGAGGAGGAGGAGGAGGCAGACAGAGGACGAACAGACGCACTGTTGGCAGTATGCTGTTGGAGATGGACGGCAGTGAGGTCCCTCGCATTACTTCCGGTCACAAATGGACCTGCATAGCTTAAGGCTCGGTGGCTTGGCGTCCTAGCGGACAGTACCGTAATAAGTAACCTCCATCAGGACAAGTTGGGATGACTTCATTGGCTTGTCTCACTGTGTGGACCCTCGCTACCGTTCAAAAAAATCGGTTGCTCTTATCTTCCACACTGCTGGAGAGGGAGGCCAAAATAACATAATCTACTAAAAACCAACCTATGTAGTCAGTTGGTCTGTCTGCCTTTCTGCGCCAACGTCCATCCTCAGACACTGTGGGCCCTGTTGCGCTCGCGTTCCGCTGCCATGGACAGCAGGGGAGGGGAGTGGGGTGGTTAGGAAGGAGCTTAGTGCCAGCTCCACCGAGCAGCGGCTGCTCAGTCTGCAGTCGATGATGAGTAGCTTTCTATTCACCAGCGCAGTGAGGAAACTACTAACCAGCCTGCAGCAGCAGCAGCATCAGGTGGACCATGGAGCAGGACCTCAAGCAACAGGCTTGGGCCTACTTGGACAGCACCCTGCCAGAACGAGGTAGACAATCCCCTTGACTACCTGGCAAGGAAAAATTGACCTTTGGCCCCAACTAGCATGAATTTGCCCTTGAAAGGCTGTCATGCCCAGGCCAGTAGCGTGGCATCGTGGACGCGCGTGTTTAGTTTGCGGCAGGAGGTATTGATAACTACCGCTCGTGAGGACACGGACTGTCCACCCAAAAGTGTGGAGAGACTCACGTTTGTTTGAAAATGAATCAGGCGTGGATTAGTCCTGGATTTCAAACCCACAAGTTCCTGACACAAACTGACTAAATCCGCCATGAATCATGCCCCCAAACATGTGCCACTTTCAGGTCTCCTCACACTGCTGGTGTGTTCCATTTTTGTCATAGGGTGCTGGCAGATTACGGGCCTCCCATTGCTGCTGCCAGGCCCGTAATCTGTCATGGGCCCCTGTACCGCCTGCTCATGCTGCTGCAGGCCCGTAATCTGTCATGGGTCCCTGTACGGCCTCCCATTGCTGCTGTCTCCATCGCCACACTCTGCCATGTGCCACTTCAGGTCTCCTCACACTGCTGGTGGGTTCCATTTTGTCATAGGGTGCTGGCAGATTACGGGCCCTCCCATTGCTGCTGCCAGGCCCGTAATCTGCCATGGGCCCCCGTACCGCCTCCTCATGCTGCTGCCAGGTCCAGAGTGTGTCATGGGTCCCTGTACGGCCTCCCATTGCTGCTGTCTCCATCGCCACACTCTGCCATGTGCCACTTTCAGGTCTCCTCACACTGCTGGTGGGTTCCATTTTTTGTCATAGGGTGCTGTATGGCCTCCCATTGCTGCTGCCTCCACCGCCACACTGTGGCTCCACACTCTGGTTTTGGCCCCGTGACTGCCCAAATGAGTGAAGTGTGCGGTGATTCTAAGATCGACGGCACTCATCTGCATGTCATACTGACTGACAGTAATAGAATATATTCGCATCGAATCGAATTTATTCCTCGAATTTGCCGAATCAGCCGAATCGAATTTTTGAATACTTCGCTCATCTCTAATGGTAATGGTGGCAGGCCAGCAGATGTGCCAGGAGCAGATAATAGTGGCAGGCCAGAAGATGTGGCAGAAGCTGGAAATGGTAGCAGGGACAGCCAGGAGAGGTGGCAGAAACTGGTAGTGGTGACAATCCAGCAGAGGTGGCAGTTGAGAATGGTGGCAGTCCTGTGCACATTGCAGGAGTTGGTAATAGGGGCAGATCAGTAGAGGTGGCAGCATAGCAGAGGTAGCAGGAGCTGGTAATAGTGATAGGCTGGGGGAGTCAGCAGGAGCCAGTAATAGTGGCAGAAGCTAGTAATGGTGGCAGGACAATAGTCGGAGCCTATAATGGTGGCAGCAAGAGGTCAAGAGAGGTGGAAGGAGCTGGTAATGTTGGCAGGCCAGCAGATGTGGCAGGGACTGGTATTGGTGGCAGGCCAGCAATCTGCCACAATAGTGGTAGTCCACAAGGTGCGGCAGAAGCAGGTAATGGTGGCAGGCTAGAAAAGGTGGAAGAAGGTGGTAATGTTGGCAGGCCAGTAGAAGTTGCAGGTGCTCCTAATGGTAGCAGGCCAGGAGAGGTGACAAGAGCTGGTAATGGTGACAGGCCAACAAAGGTGGCAGGAGCTGGAAATGGTGGAAAGTAAAAAATGTTTCTTGACAAAAATTACAAGATGAGACAGATGACAAGGAAAATATTGGCAAGTGGAATCAGCTGCATGAGGCTTTGCAATCATTGCTGATGCAGACAGCACACCGACCACAGAACAAACCAAAAGCTACAGTGTGTACTGTGCAAGTTCTGACCAGTGGTCCAACCTAGAAAAACAATAGTTTATAAAGGAAAAGCTGGTTATAGTGGTAGCAACAGGCCAGCAGAAGTGGTAAATGCCAGTAATGATGTCAGGCAAGCAAATGTTACACAAGCTGGTAATCGTGGCAGCCCAGGAGTTGTGGTAGGAGCTGGCAATAGCAACAATCCAGGAGAGGTGGCAGGTGATGGAAATGGTGGCAATCCAGCACACATTGCAGGAGTGGGTAATGATGGCAGGCCACAATAAGTGGCAAGAGCTGTAATGGTGGCAGTACAGCAGAAGTGGCCATAGTGGTAATGGTGGCAGGCCAGAGGAGTCAGCAGGAGCCACTAATATTGGCAGGAGCTGGTAATGGAGGCAGGCCAATAGAGTCAGCAGGAGCTTATAACAGTGGCAGCAACCGCTCAGAAAAGATGGAAGCAGATTCTAATGGTGGTAAGCCAAAAGAGGTGGCATCAGCTGGTAATGGTGGTAGGCCTGCAGACATGGCAGGAGCTGCAGGGTTTCTTAATTGTAGCAGTCCAGCAGAGGTGGCAAGAGATGGTAATGGTAGCAGGCCAGCAGAGTTGGCAAGAGCTAGTAATAGTGGCAGGCCAGCAGAAGTGTCAGGAGCTGGTAGTGGCAGCAGGCCAGCAGAGGTGGCAAGAGTTGGTAATGTGGAAATTAACTTGTTTTTGGAGAGGGGTGGGTGAAGATTGCAAAAAAAAAAAAAATAGGTGGCATCAGCTGTATGGGGTTTGTAATCATTGCAGATACAGGACTGTTTAAATTTTTTTTTAATTAGCTGGTCCATGGTCAGGCATATTTGTCTCTGTAACAAAAGTGCCTTCTGTATTGAAGGCCCTCTCAGACAGAACACTGGTTAGAGAGCAAACCATAAGCTCCAGCATGTACTGTGCAGGTTCTGACTAGCGGTCCAGCCTGAAAAGCCTATAGTCTATAGACTCCAAACCTCTAGAGTGTGTGCAAGAGACCTGGATCCCTGCAATCATATGGTTTAGGTGCTGACTGTAACTGCTGTCAACAGCCAGGCTTGTTAGTTACTGGTAGTATGCAATCATGGTGTAGGTGCTGCCTGTAACTGCTGTCAACAGCCAGACCAACAGGCCTTACTTTCACTACCTTGCTGCTCCATTCAACTAAAAGGAGAGAGAGTCCTTTTTTAAGCTACAAGTCCGCAAAGTTTTAGCTTACACAGGCTGACTGGCCCTGCCTTGGCATATGGCGTAAGTTTCATGCTCCTCCATGCTTGGAAGCACTGAGTATTTGGTGCTTAATGAAGCAGTGGGGTCAAGTGAAGGAAGGGTAATAATCTGGTCCTAGGGATGGGGGATTCAGGGGGAACTTATGAAAATTAGGTAGAGAGTCTCAGAATTGGATAAATAGGTGCCATTGCTTTATGCTACTTGCAGTTCCTTGTCGTTCACATATAGTATTTTCCTTTATGCTCATTTAGAATCACTTAATAATACTTTTGTATTTGGGCAATGTGGATAAAACTCACATGCAGCCTTTTTTATGGACCGTGGATTTTCTCCCAAAAATTTTACTCTGTGAGAAGCATGGCATCCAGCCATGGCTCCCTTCCAAATGAGTGAAGCTGTTTAAATATTTTGCTTAATGTCAGTTTAAAATCCAGCCTCTGGGTCTAGCGGTCTTGTGAAAAATGTGTTAATCAATTGGTTTACATTTTCAAATGACAGCCAACCATGAAAAAAAAATGAAATTGTTATGTGTTTATTAGTTTGTTGTATATTATCAAAGAGCTATGGTGGTCTAATGAGAACTTTTGAATTGCTCATTGCAAAGATGTTTAGGTTTCAAAATACAGCCTTCTCACTTTATCTCAGATTTGGAAGCTACAATGGCTGCTGATATGCAAACTAGCTGACCTCCAAAACCAGAGACCACTTAGAACAATTGTTGTTTGCGCCCACCCTACTTCAGAAGTAACCAATGAAGACAGAAATAGAGGAGTTGTCATTGTTGACTTGCTTTTAAGGATAATTTCAGATTGCTATTATCCAAACAAACTTTCAGTGTCATTATGTAGTGCAACTTAGAGAAGATTTGTATATTGTGTAGGGACAAAGTTGCATTGGAATCACACCAAAGTAGTATAGGACCCATACTACTACTACGATGCAAATTTCGGAATTATTACCCTTTTCCTTTCTTCACTATAAGATGAGTTACCAGTCTGTAAAGTGTCTGCATACCAGGTGTCCTGACAATATACAGGATCTAGATAACTGCCCTGAAGTCTGTACTTTTTACCTGTTGGTGCCGATGTGGCCTCTCGGCAGCTGGGCCTTGACGCTGAGAGGCCAATATTTGCATTCCCAATGTAAACACACATGTCAAGAGCACATGCCCAGCACATTTACCGGCATTTCAAAAAAAGGTCCCGATCGCAGGTAGCAATTGAGACCTTTCCGATCATGTGACTGCTGTGACAGCCAATCCATAAACCCCACCCAACCTCCTGGATCACAAACCCCTTATAGGGTCAGGAGGTGGTGGCGCCAAAGGGTTAAAGATAAGCTAGCTCTGGCATCCCCTATTCTTCTATGGAGAGTCTTTGGAAGGCATGCTGTGCCTGTCTGTCCCAACCATTCTGTTTTGAGAAGGACACAGCAATTGCATGGAGGTCGGCGGGAGAAACCACTGAGCAGAGCAGGGAACACAGGATTCACCTGGAGATTTATCTTGATCAGAGCAGGGATGGGCAGCGCTGGCAGCAGAAGAGGTGAGTGTTTATAGCAATCTTTACATTAATAGCTTTATTTCACATGTTTAGTTTAGAGAGAGTCAAATTTTATACAGTGATATTTCAGTGTTTGGTGAATGATAAACTATTAAACCACCTTTTGTTTTATATAACCTGTGGTAACATCTGAGTTCCTTAGGCTGCCCAGAGATGGGTCATTTTTTTTGGCTGATTGAAAAAAATTATTATTATTATTATACAGTATTTATAAAGCGCCAATAGTTTGCTCAGCGCTGTACATTACAAAGTTCATTAAAAAATGAACTCATTCCCCCACACAAGCAAAGTGGATGAAGGAATCCTCCCCACTGTGCTATTGTATCCTACAGCGGGGACTCCTCTCCTGTCAGAATACACTGATCAGTGGTGCAGCCTATTGGCCGCAGCCTTTGATTGAATTTTCTAACATTCCCATTGAACAGAAGTTGATCATTAGGTTGAGCAGGAACGGCCATAGATAGATCGAAATTTGTCCAGTGCCTGCTGAACTGGCCGAATTCCTATCCATCAATGACCAGCTTTAGACTTGACATGGTCATTTCAAAAGGGTCCCATTCTGCCTGCTAGTTTCTTCATTTATTTTAAAACATGGAGAAAACAACAGGTGAAGTGAAAACAACCCAGAGTGCATGGAAAATATGCCAGGATAATAGGTAATAATGAAGTCTCAAAATGATAGAAGAAAGCAGTTGTCTAGCTTAGTCCACTGGTCTCCACCTATAGCTAATGCATCACTTTTCGTTGGACTGACCCTTTCATGTACACAATCAATTTTATGCTAGTGTTTTGATAATTGTATTTCCATGTATAGTTTGAAATTGCATATGTATTTACTGTTACTGCTGAATAGACTTAGCTGTCAGCACATTGATTGTGCTATGCTACTCTTCCTATCAGTGAGCAAGTCAAAGGCAGCCCATAGATGATTTGATTTTCTTTCCTTCTACCATGGGTGGAAGGAAAGAAAATAGCTTGATTCTCCCATTAACACATTC